ATGATTTCAAAATAATGAAGATTAGTATGTTATCTACAGTTGCAAAAGACGAAATTATAAATAGTGTAATAATTCAATGCCATAAAGCACATTTAATGAAGTGTCCCTAAAAAATGCCAACAGAAATTTGGTTAATACCACAAACCAGACTGTTGATCCTGGTAAGTGCGTAACACGTCAAACTTGGTACAGACATGTGCAAACACAGAAGCGAAGCGCGCCGCCAATGCAGACGCACGCACAATACTAGAGGTTAGATGCTGTCTGTCTGAGCAATGGTAGATCACCTGCCGATTTGAGGCGTCCTTTGCGGCGGATACGAGCTGCTCTTTGAAATGCCGGCGCTTTCTGGTTTTTGCACAGTTGCAAGTATTCCGCTGCCTCTTATACGCCTCGCAGTCGCTGGGAGAGCCTGAGGGAAGAAATTTGTCGCACAATTTGCAATGCCGTTAGAGATCAATTCACTTAGGTCGCGGCTCGAGTCAGACAGTTGAAATCAGTTTTCCAATGGCTGTAAGCTGGTTGCAGCAAACGCGAATAAGATAAACGTAAATCCATGCTAGCTATGAGCGGTCAGTTGCAGCTAAGGAATCCAAAATCTGAACGTCATACACATGTTGTTCGCAGCTTGTTAACAACAACTCTAGGCACGACGGAGTTGACTGCGGCGTTATAAGTATCGGTCAGCATAGATGTTGCGCTGCTCCACTCTCGAGTACCAAGTTCATGAACTTTGCCTCGAACTCACAACGTGCGCGCATGAGTTGAACTTTAGGTCAGCGTACTCGATGAGAATTGAAATCACATATGGGTAGGAAACAGGGACGACTCATTTGGCTTCGGAGAGGCGGCAACCATTCCGAACAACGGCTCAGGGGACGGTGATAAACTGCACTCACGAGCAAGTCACCGCACCTGACGTGGACCGAGCACCACGGCTGCTCACACCGGTCATCGTCGCTTCTGTAGACGCTCAGAAGTCTTACACATAGGGAAGACCGGATGTAGAACAAGATGTCACTGCAGGTAGTCGAAAGTCTATCACGGCGGAAGCATGCCTAGCCACAGAGTTCGATTTCCTAAGTAATCGTTTCAGAATTCAGCCATGTCTGCGAGTTCTACTATGTCTAGTCGCTCAGATGCGGCGAAAAGATGGAGTACATTGCGCTTGTTTAGAATACTACAAGGGTTGGTAAAAACAGCATACAAGCCGGAGCAGTAACGCCCAGGTGTGCTTGAAGTGTTAGCAACTTGTTTAACCTGCTACGTGCCATTTGTGAAACGACTCGAAAATTTGCGATACAGAAATGGGTTTCGCCATCGCCATTTCATCTTTTCAGCACAATGGTGGCAGAGTTGAACTGTTCTCAATCCAGCAGGTCCAGAACTGGACGAAAACGGATCTTCACACCCTATGTCCTATGTAGTTGGAACAAGATCAGCCTCGAAGTGGTTTCATCCACAAAGGTGATTCTCACTGGCCGACTTTGATCACCGGATAATTTGCCACTTTCAAACCTTCCTCATCCAGGCCGAAGAGCCTATCATTTAGGATCTGTAAAAACTCAACGACATGATCGTAGCGCATCAGGGAGGTGGGACCACTGGATGCAGGAGGTTAAAAGGCCCCCTGGTCGGCCAGGTTTGCTCTTGCAGGGCGAAGATTTTCCACAACTTCATATGGTCTAGTCTGCCATTGATTAACAGAGGCCAAACCCTTTTCATCTCTCCGCTTTTTCTTACCTAGTACTTTCCCATGTCTTTAGTACACAGAACTTCACACACTGGAACATCTGTGTAACACAGGTAAAATGTCCGTGTCAGGTGAAACTTCGTGTCGGTGAGTTTGCACGGGACGAACAGGGAAGCTTACTTTAAAACTGGAGGCACTTCGGGTTAGCTTATTGAGCCAAACACCCGTTAGCCACTCGCAACGGAATAATTCAGCCCACAAGGCGGTTTGTGAGTCTTTTTTACTTTCTCCGACTACATCTTATTTCTGCAACCCACAAATAAAATTCGACGAAATCATGTTAGATTTCATGAAAATTCCGAATTTGAACAATCGGTAGTCAAATGCATTAAACGTTGCAAATAATGTGGCACATAACGCATGTGAGTGCATTTGACTGACTTTCGACAACCTTGGAACAGGCACCGCAAGTGATTGTTTCGGTATTATGTATAATCCGAGACCAAGATGGTGACCAAATGTAGAGCACAAAGCGATTGTTAGATCTCCGAAACTACACGGAGGTAACACTAGTATTTATGGCCTAAAATTCAGAATCAGAAATGAGTCTGAATAATATTTTGATTTGCACGAAACATCTTCAAGGCACGGAGAAATCGAGCAAGAAAGAATCATGTTAAGAACTGAAAAAGAATCAACCGGAGGCTGCTAACTGCTATTGATTTCAATGTATAAAAAAACACGAAGGCGGTAAGCGATCACAATATACCGAGAAGTCACCTAAATAGAGTTTAGATGCAGTCGGTTTAGAAGCTGTAACAGTTTCAGGTGGATAGTTGAAGTGTTGAGTATATAACATGAAAGTACTCGCGGGTGCCCACGAGAGAGCGGTTACTGTATCGCGCTCTCCATGAAATTGATCTGCAGCAAGCTATACAGAGTGACAATGGTTGTTCGAAACAGGCCGGTAATATGTGTAAATAAATAAATGAATTGCATATCCCTCGACGATGCGAGCTGTTCCCTAGAAGGGACAGAGCAAATATTGCTACATCCTTCTCATGCCATTGAATCAAACAGTTTAAAAAATTAACATGGGAGCAATTTCAAATTTAGGTAACACAAAATAAGCAGAATGGTTCGGCTGTTTTTTCCTGTAGTTGAACCAAGGTCCTTCAGAATCACATGAAATGTTCGAGCCGAGGAAAATATGTAATGATATGAAAGGGGCTGTGGTCTAAAACGTTCTGTGTATGTTATGAAAATTTATTCAGGCACCATGGATACCGTTTTCGGAAGTATTATTTATCTACAGATTCTGATGTCATGAACATATTACTCACGTTCTGGACTGTTAACCGTTTACTAATCACAGCTTAAAATTGCGCAATGCACGGCATGTTCTGATATCTCTCGGAAGTTTGTACCAAATCTTAGAGTAGTGGACTGGAAAGAAATGTTCTGACTCGCGTAGTAGATTTTGTAATCATGACCTTTACGTCTTTGTTACGCATAGGATATCTGTTATTTAAAGATATGTGAAGGCATTTATCAAGACTGCGAATTTGACGGTTAATGATTCTGTAAAGAAAACATAGGTTCAGCTTCATTCTCCGAAGTCAGACTGGGTCAAATGCAAGTTCATCACATCGTTCTCTGCATATCATCTTCGAGGAATATCCATATAGCTTTCCGTGAAGCGTCTCTGGATCATCTCAAAAGCATGCTTGCCAGATTTTCGCAGATTAGATTGGACCAATGAACGGTATTCCATACAAGGCAATACATATGTTTGCAGAAAGGGTCATCAACAATTCGGCTACTTGCGCGTGGCATCTAATCGACTTGACTCGTCTATGTCCTTGAAACGGGGAACGCACATGTGAGGCACATTGTGAAACACGCCATCCAGCCCCGGCGGATTTGTTAAAAGTTCGGTCTGATCGTGCCACAGGCTCCGTAGGTGTTGTGTTTCCACTGACAGCACGGATAACCGATGCAGATATTCGGATCACGGATCAAGCGAATCAGAAGACGAATAGTGGACAAAACAACATTGAGCTCAGATTATATAACTTAGTGGAAATGACCATGAAGCTTTTAGACTATGGGGAATTACCAGACACTCTGGCTGACTGTATCCAAACATCAGGTGGCGTCACTGACCGACTCCGATGGAAGAGAACTCATCGTCTGGTCCCTGGCCAATGAAACTCCGATTGACTTGTTCCGGGCTTCCGCTGAGGCTACTGGCATTAAAACGGGCTCCCTCAACAGAAGGATGATTAGGAATACCAAGGGCTTGGTCCAACTTCCATGCCAACTAAACCTTAAAGGTATAATGGTGTACAGTCAGTAGCGCCAGCGTCTGTGGACTGACCCCTTGATGAAATGCCAGACCAACAAGAACTACGAGCCCACCTGACACCATTACTTAAGATTAGTCACAGATCCAACCTGAAGAACCAGCAACTAAAGTAAGCCGTGAAGTAGAACCAGATGGAGTATGGTCTGAATTTTCTCCGTTCTAACTTATGCTATCTCCACCCTACGCCATTGATGCTGACGTGATTAGCGGTACAATGGCTCGCCTAAATCATTCGATTTAACGCGTGTTCAGAGGGAGATAACGCAATGTAAACAAACGGAGTGTTCATCAGAATTCCCAAAAGATCTTGTTGCTAACTTAGAAATCTTGAGGGGTCCGAAGGTACGCGCTTTGTTTTGTAGAGAAGTGTGTTCCTGTATTTGCAAATATGGCCCATAGCATCCTAGGGAACTAGTCAAACAATTACTTCCTCATTCCGACTGATAACCAACGTCGAGTCGCACACGCCAGACTTTGCGACAGAACAAGTTCAAGTGGCCTGTGCGAGCGCAAGGTGCTGTACCTTGAATCAGTGAATAGGCTCCACCGCAGACACAAGGATGCGCTTGTTGTAAATCTCATTTAACACGAGCAGACGAAGAGGCGCCAGATATGCTCACTCACGTTCTGGGACTGGGCTTGACGGTAAAGCTCCAGATCGACAAAATTTCAGCCGCTCAGTTTTAACTGTAGAGAGTGGAACCGTAGAATACATCATAAACAGAAATCGGAAGACCGTAAAATTTTATCTTCCGGCGACAGTTCGGTAAGTTGACAAAAATACTCTAGATGGCGCTTGTAAAATGTCATCTAAAAGTTAAAAAATAAGGAAATCAGCCCTCTGGACATATAAAGTTGAATAGTCAAACAAAACAGACCAGACGTGTAAACATATGGGTCTCGTTATCCGCACACTTAGTAACGTTCTCAGCTGCTTACCGATAATCCTCAGAGAGTTCGTCGTCGTTTGGCTGCGGAACGCTTATGATTACTTGAGTAATCCTTTCATTGAGCCGTTCCCATACCACTCTAGAATACGGGTGCTTCCCAAGGACATCGAGTTACCTAACCATTTCGTATGCAGCTTTACCAATCCCAAGGACGAATAAACGGCCCGCGAATTCGTAGCACTCATCAAATACGAATAGTTTCGTTCCTTCCAAGCGAAGCGATTTGTCTACCTGAAAAACATCAAGAGAAGCTGTTACAGAATGGTCATCAAAAAGGACGCAGATGTAAAATACATATGCAAAATTCACATATACAACTACAGCTATTTTCAACTGACTAAGACACATATTAGGATCTAAAAACGAAGCCAAATAAGATGAACCTGACAATTTGAGTAATATTGGTGATCATTATGAAGCATTTAGTCATATAGACAAATAGTAGGTTCAATAGAAAATGAAATTCAAGAGAGAAATCTGACATTTTAGGATTATAGCAGCAGGACACTAACAATCGGGGGAACTTAAAATCGGAAACTAGCTGGTAGAAGAGTTCATGAGTCGTTGAGGCTAAAAGTGGCGGAATCCTGACAGATCATCGACTTGCTGGTCCTAACGTTGTGCCGTAGACTCATGTCCTGGACGCATCCGCGTGGCGACTACTGGGTAGGAGCTAGGTTAGGCCCTTCTTCTAGATAAGAGCCAAGATACAAACAACTCCACCTAAGTCGGTTCACTGACTCATGGCGCATGGCAAGCTGCCTTTCGAGAGTTCATTTTACTGAAGGCTTTGGCTGAGAATCCGAGCTGATCTCCTGTCAGGTGCGGATACTCTGGCAGTACACCAGTCCAAAACCAAATCATGAAATTCATCAATAATAGAACGCTGCATCAGCAATGGGACAAAGGCAATGTGAAAAGGGTCACCTTATGTGCTGCAAAAACATGCTACCGCTGACGCTTCTCTCCTTTCTTCCTCCTCTGCACATACACTCCCGATCCCCGTTTCACCTAACCCACTACATCCTCCAAACCAGGTAACTAGGCGTGCGACTGCCTGCCAGTGTAATCGTATGCCTCCGCGCAAAGCGTACAAAATCGGGTGCTGGAACGTGCGCGCACTGCTCGAACAGAACACGAGTGAGCGTCCCGAACGATGCACGACACTGGTAGCGATGAAACTACCCCGCTACGGGATCGATATTGCCGCATACAGTAAGACACGACTAGCAGACCAAGGCAAGCTTCATGAGGCCGGTGCCGGCTACACGTCCTACTGGGGGCGGGGGGGGGTGAACGTCACCACCGTATCACGTGAACATATGGTTGGATTTGCACTATCCGACCGCATATATGGACAGCTGGTGGGAGAGCTGACCGGCATCGGCCCACGACGGATGATTCATGGACTGCGTCTCAGGCGTTGTACTATTGCAACTTTCATTAGCACCTACCGTCCCACCATGGTTATCGTATATATATATATATATATATATATATATATATATATATATATATATATATATATATAAAACACTTGCCCAACAAACATTTGGCGGTATGCCACAACACATGAGTAATAATAACAAAAAGGAGAGAGTGAGTAAGAGAAATGGAAGCAAAGTTCCATTTGTTGGGTGGGCATTGAGTTTCCCGGTTGCCCAGGCCGAGGAAGAGGGTTGACTTAAGGGACCCCACCCCGAGCCTTTGGTCAAAAGACTTGACCCGCAAGGCAGCGGGGTGATTCACGAAGACCGTTGACAGCCAAGTGGCTTATTCGCCTTCTTTGTGTTCGGAAGCAGTCCATAGAGAAGCCAGTGGCCAGCGAGATTGTTCATTCGCCCTCTGTTAGATACTCACCCCCAGTTACAGGAGTGAGTGGTCACTTTGTCTTTGACACAGCGCCGTACGAGCACTTGTGGTATTTAATGGAGAACCAGGTGACCAACCCAGAACCCCCCACGCTCTGAGACGCTGCCGCAGTTTGTCCGCGACTGTTTATTCATCTCGTCTACAAAGCAAACGAGACTTATTCGCAGTTACCTCAACAACGAAGGCGTTTCCCGATCCGCAACCTGGGGACGCGCCCGATAGCGTACAGCTCCGGCACGGGACAAGCAATCAGACATATACAAAGTTGTCCTCTCTGATATGGTCTGTGTCCAGCGACTGGCTATTCCTATTAGTGATTTCATTAGGCGTGATGACTTGAAGAATGCCGTATGTTGCTGTTTGCCGACAACTGTGTGTTGTTCGAACACAGCGTGGATGAGTTGCAGCACACGAAGACGGTTCACATGCTGACCGCGCCCAAATTCAGACTCAGCATCAACACAAGACAGTTTTCCTTTTCCAGCCTTTCCCAAGAAAGGAGCCGGGGGCTTGCTTCAAATGCACATGGTACTGAAGTTTTGGAAACTACTTCCCGAATTTGCTACCTGGTGAGTGTACATTCGACCAACCTCCAGATGGAGAGTGAGCTGCGTACCCGGGTATAGAGAGCGGCTGCTGCGTTCGACAAACTGGAGAAACGTGTGTGGACCAATCACCAACTTACCGTTGGAACGAAGCTGATTGTATACAGGTCTATAATGTCCGTTTTCGTATATGGCAGCGAAATATGGACGCCGTATCGGAAGGACGTCCGTTAGCTGGAGCGCTTCTGTCAGCTGTGCCCGCGACGGATTCTACGCATCTGCTGGGGAGACCGAGTTAGAGATACGGAAGTCCTATGCCGCTGTAGCATGTATGCAGTGGACTGCATACGTCTGCTGCGACATCTGAAGTGGCTGAGGCATATCAGCTTCATGGATTCGACGCGGAAACCCCAACAGGTGCTATATGGACAAATTACTGCAGGGAAACGGCCCATAGAAAAACCGAAGGTAAGTTACTAGAACATGATCAAGGTGAGTGTATCACGAACTAATGTTGACTTTGTATTGGGAATCAAATGCAGTGGATAGGCGTGATTGTCGAGAGCATATCAAGAAGGCAGTTACCTAGATGCATGGGAAAGCACTGTTTCATGCGGAAAAGAAACACCAATCACAGAAGCGACAGGTGCCGATGCATTCTAGCCCATATAGGTCCAGCATATGCGGTCGCAAGTGCCTCAGCTGGGCCGGCCTGATAAGCCACCAGTGTGCCCACGCAGGTCCAATATGGTTAGGTAAGCATCGTCAACGCAGTACTTGGTAAGTAGGCCGATTCCGCTTACTAGGCCCAGACCAATAATGCGGTGGATGTAGTGCGTGTGCCACACCATCACCACAGTAGTTCCGTACGTGTATCTTCGCTTATCTTCAACATCTCAAGTGCTGGCTGTAATTGTTCGGAATCTAATCGGAGCAAACGGAATCCAGCTTTATGTTATTTAGTCTTTTCTGTTACTACTCCCCATATTCAGTACTTACACTTGCAATTGCCCAAGATCACTACCACATTAGGTCAAATAATTAATAAAATCAAAAAACCTACATTGCGCACACAAGTTATTCGTTCAGTCCTTTTGATACGTTATGCGTGTTTATTTATTTTCTCGTCCCTGCATGCCCCAACCTACCTGTTCGATCGACTGGCCCACACAAGAAACGTTTTCCTGGATCGCCGCAGTCAACGAGGAGACGGACGCGAATGCGGGTCGTTTAATCGTGGGACGATGGTCGTTTTGGTGCGGGCTGGGGTGCGGCGGGGGAGAGGTCACTCCCAAGAGCACCATTTTGCTGCAAAGGAAGTTAAGGTCCCGTAGAGCAATTCTCTGGGATAATCAGTTTTTTGAAGCCCGACAAGCCCTCTTCAACGGCTCGGTGAAATACAATGTCCTAAAATCAATAATTAATGAATAGCAAACTGCACAGTGTACCCGGATTTCTGGCGAACCCCCATTTGAAACTCATTCTGACTGGGCACTTTTTTCCCTAACGAACTTCAATTCACCCATTATTTTCGACATCGAACGCTTCTTTTGTTCGGCTTTCTAGGGGGAGCTCTGAAGCGCTACAAAAGCTAGCTTTTATATGCAATTTCATTACTGACCAACTGTACTTTTATCCTTCTTGTTTTAATTGCCCTTACATCCGGCTCGATACACGTCCGCTCTGTAAGTTACCCGGATAACGTTCGCTCCCTTCTCGCTTCATCCGTCCATGTCTTTTGTAGCCCCTTGAATATAATCCGCTGTGTCCGATTTCACTTGTCTTCTGATATCTGCACTCGACTAAGCGCATCGTCTCGGAATAGCATTTACTAGTCCTAAAGGTCGCTTCTAAGGGAGCTGTTATTGAGCTGACGTAAAAGGAAAATAGAATAGGCGACATAATTGCTCCCTGAAGAACAATGCAGTTGCTGACTAGTGGGGAGGAGCATCTGCCATTGAGTCGTATAATGTGAGTGCGTACAGTAAAATAATCACATAGCAAATGGACGATGGAGGGGTGTAATCCTTGAATGAGTAGATCTTTTAGCAGCAATTCGTGGTTTACAGACCAGAACGCATTGCCATACACAAGAAAATACATAGGAATTGATCTGTTTCTGTTGTCAAGTGAGGATAGCACAGAATGTGTGAGGCAGACAACTGCATCGATAGTAGACCTGTAATTAAGATAAGCGAATTGGAGGGAATCATTCGAGCGAGTTTGGGACAGCATCATTTCAAGAATGATCTTCCCTAGAACCTTCAAGGCAACGGATGTGCAAGCGACAGGTCGACAGCTGTTGGATCCTTTCTTGGCACAGCTGTACTACTGACACTTCCGCATCAGTCAGCGATTTCGTGTTGCTGTATACACATGGTGTATGCAGCAAGAGGTGTCGCCAACGAGTCAACACATCTGAATACAATGGGAGATCGTTTGTCCGGACCATTAGCTTTACTGGAACGTAGGCGCTTTAGTAAATTATTCAGTTAAACTGTCGACAGGAGACAATGAACTTGGGAACAGAGAGATTCCGGGATCATGCCAGTATCGCAGTTACAAAACTGCTCATGAATCAGCTCTCTAGGTGATTAGATTTTGACATAAATATCTTGGAAATCCAGATAGGTATTTTGGAGGAAGCTGTCAGCAGAGCAGTAATTCACTGTAATGTGGATGAATTTCGCGTGTGGAGACAGTAACATAAAAGTACAATACTACGGATTACTGATGGGATTAGGTGAAATGTAAAAAATGTCAAGGAAACAATGGTATAGTCACTGACTTCGAAAAGGCTTACTTTCTGATCTG